GTTATATAATTTATATTTATAGGGTTTTTATTCTTATTCTCTTATATTATAAAATATATTAATTAAGAGCGTTATTATTTATTAAAAGGATATTATATAGACTAATATCCTTCCTTATTATATATAAAGTATCTTTTTATTAAAAATTATTCTATAGGAACATACCTCTATAATTACTATAACTACTATAATTATTAAACCTAGTATTCTAACTATTATAAAAGTTTTATTAAAAATTATTATAGAAGTTACCTCTATTATAAAATCTACTATAATATCTATTATAAAAATTATTATTATTATACTTTTAATTTATAAAATACTAATCTTCCTTATTAAACTTAGTTTTATTTATAATAAATATATAATTTATAGGTTACTATAATTAATAAACATAATAAAGTATATAAACTTAAATATAAAGCTTTAATTAATATTAAAGGTTTATAAAATATTATAATAAATTTTAGTATACCCTTAATTATATGTAAAATGTTATTTTTAATAGGTTAATTACTATAATAATTAAAAGTTTAATAATATATATTTAACTTATTAATTAATAGTTATAGTATTTTAACCTTTAATTTATTAAGATTCTTTTAATATAAATTAATAAAAATTAATATATTTTAATTAGTAAAATAGTTTTAGTAAGTAATATTATTATTAAAATATAGTTTTACTTTAAAGTAAGTTATTTAAAATAAATTAATTTGCTTAACGTTATATAAGTAGAATATTTTAATAGTACTTTTAATATATATAGAAAAGTTATATAAAATTATATTAATTAAACGTTTAAGTTTTTATATATATTAAAAGATAAGAACTTTATTATTAAATATATTATAGGTTTAATTAAAGTATATTTTATTATTATAATAGTACTTATTAATATTAGTTACTATATTTAGTTTAAGTAGTTTATTAGGATATTCTATTAATAGTAAAGTATAATATACTATTAAATTTTATATTTTAAAAGTATTTTTAAAATAGCTATTTTTAAGGATTTAAAATTAGAAAATAATAAAGATAAAAATAAAGATTTATTAGGTGGATCCCTTTAAACCTTTTATTTTCTTTATTAAACTTATAGTATAACTTATTATTATATCTATCTTTCTTCTTTTATTATTCTTTCTATCCTTCTTTTTATTTATTATTATTAGATTCTAAACTATTATTTAAGTTATTATCTTTATATTATAATGATTTCTTCCTATATTTATTATATATCTTATTTTTACTTTTCTTACTTTCTATAAATACTTTATTTTTATTTTTATTTTTATTCTTATTCTTCCTCTTTAAATCTTTAATAATAATAATTTTATTCTTAAACTTAAAAGCTATCCTTCTTTAAATTAGCTTATAATAAAATAAAACTTTATTTAGTTTATAAATCTCCTTAAATTAATTATTAAACTATTTTAATATTCTTTTAATTTAATAAAAGTTAAATATAAATAAGTTTTAATAAGTTTTAAATTAGTTTATATACCTTTAATATATAGAATTATCTTTAATTTTTAAAAAAGTTCTTATTAATAGTTATAAATATCTTTTAATTTATTTATTAAAATCCTTTATAAATACTTTATATAACTTTTAATATTAAGGTATTTATATACCTATAAGCTATATAATATATATATTAATTTATATTATATTAAATTTTCGTTTTCTAATAAATTTATATCTTATAACTTAAAGTTAATATTATATATATAGGTTACTTTAAGGTATATTCTATTTTATATTTTAATAAATAATAGTATTAATTATAATAATAAATCTAGTAAATTTTAAAGGGAGCTATTATAGGTGATTATTAAAATGGTGGAAGGGTTAATTATAAAGAAATAAATATATTAATAAAACTATATTATTTTAAAGGTTAAATATAGTTAATCTAAGGAACTAATAATTCTTATTAATAGAATATAAAAAGTATCTATTATAACGTTAATTTAAGGGTATATATAAGTGTATTAAAGGACTTATTAATTAAGGATAAATAAAGAATCTAACACTTAATAAAGTTAACTTATAAAGTTTAAAGTATTATTAAAACATAGAGGAAAGCTTAATAATAAAGTAAATAAAGAAGTTTAAAGTTTCAATAAAGTTCTTATTTATATAAGGTATAATAAATATTTATAAAAGGTAATTTTAAATAGTAATATTAAACTAAATACTAAACATTTAAAAGGTCACCTAGGTTTTATATTTAATAATTATTAAAATATTTATAAAAGAGTTAGTTCTTCTAGATAAATTATATAACTTTATTTTATTAGCTAAAGGTAGTTACATTAAATAAATTATATAAGTTAAACAAGATTTAATAGTTTTAATATAATTACTTCCTAAATAATTAAATTATAAAGTAATAAATTATTTTATTAACTTAACTATTTATAGTTACCCTTATAACTATTAATTAATATTAGCTAGGCTTATATATATAAAAGTAGAAGAAGTAATGTTAGAAGTAGTTAATTATTAGTAACTAATTATTAGAGGGTTGCCTAAAGGGCCTATATAGATAAATACCTTCCCTATTAACTAAGCTTAATAAAAGATTATTATAACTATTATATAGCTAAAAATTATCCCTTTAAATATATATATATATTAATAAAACTTTTATTAAATAAATTAATATTATAACTTTTATTTAAATATATAACTATTAATTTTAAAATTTAAAATAAAGAAATAATTTATAATATATTACTTTTAAAACTTTTATAATAAAGTATTAAAACTTTTAAAAAAGTTTTAAAAGTAATTTATAAAAGATAAAAGGGTATAATAAACTTATCTTTTTTAAGTTTATACTTTTATTATTAATAATTATTAACTCTTTAATAGTATAAAAAGTATAATAAAAATAAAGAAAAGAATAAATTTAAAGTTCCTCTTTAAAAGAATTATAAGGATATATATAACGCTATTAAAGACTTTATATATAAGCTTTAAATTAAGGAAAAAATAAGTAGTTATATAATATAAAGGAAAAATATAATATAGTTAAAGCTAATAATTAATATATATTTATATAAGTTTAAAAAAAGCTAGGTATTTTAAAGTAATAACTATAGGTATATTAGAGAGATAGAGTGTGAAACTAGGATAACCTTAAACCTTTAAAAAACCCTAGGCTAGGGCAATCACTTTTATACTTCAACACAGCTTGCTATGCTTGCGTTACCATGGAGCGCATATGATCTAGGGAGCTCTAGTATCCGGTTACTCAATTGGTACTCATCCCACCTCAGGCCCACGACGTCGGCATTCAGTAAGGCTGAGGGATGGCGCTTATATGTAAACCCCCAACAGCTGGACGCACGCACGACCTCTGAGATTCCGCTTAATTTCTTTCCCCGTTCCTAGCTAGCTCGGCCTGCCTTAGCTGATGTGTCTCACTCCTCGCTGCTAGGTACGACGGCATCCTGCAGCTGAGGAAATTGGGGGCCGGTCTTCCAGCTCCCTCTGGGAAGGAATTGAGGCTTGTGCCTTCAATTCTAACCCCTGCCTCCTGCAGCATTCATGTGGCCAAGCTGTAGAAGGATGGGTACCACCGAGATGTGGTAACACAACACAGCACCGGCTGCCCATGATTCGTCGTGAATAGATATTACCGAATCACTTTTAATCAGTATGAGACAGCGGCCAAGATATGTCGCTGCTCATATATCGGTGGGGTCTTCGCGAGTATCTCTTGGTTTCTTCCCCGCCAGTTCAATCCCTCTCGAGCCCGCCGCAGCATCTGTAATATTCCCGGTTCCGAGCGAGGATTTGTGTGCTGCCGACGCCGACATGTCCGTCGCCACATCTACTTTACCATCTGGATGGAGCCCGGATTCGTCATGTCAGGACCGCAACGACCACTGGGTCTGGTTTGATAACAAACGGGCCATGGGAGCTTTAGGGCCACTGGATCAAACCTCGTCATGCTACCCTCCAGATTTTACTCCCACCCTAGGTCAGTTGTACACGGCAAGGAGTTGCCCCGACGGCTTCACTCCCGCCTGTACAACGAACTACTACTCGGCTTTTTGGTCAACTCTCTGCTGTCCCACTGGGCGAGTACATCAGATAGGCTTTATTTTGAACTCATCATTCAAATCGTTGTTTGAGCTTCTAACATTCAACTGCTTTGCCTAGCGATCAAGTATATACCTGTGACTACAGGTCCTTCTGGTCTTGGACAGCGGCCTGCGCTACATCAATGTACTCTCACACACATGAATATATTTACTTCTTTTGGAAATTCAGTTCCATCCACGGACTCAACCTACACTGCTTCAGCGTACCGTCTTTTGATTGACGGCGAAACAATCTTGACAGATGTGACGACCACGGGCACGTTCTCTTATGTGGACACATACGTCCCTGGGTAGACCGCATATGCACTTGGAATCCCAATTGTGCGTCCAGCTGAGGTACGCTTCCACTACCCCTAGAAGGAGCCAACACATCGATGGGACGCTAAACGAGACTGATAAGAACTAAAATTGAATTTCATGCAGACATCTGGTACGAGCAGTGCTAGCAGCAGTGTTCTATCAGAACTAGGATCCATATCCATCACCAGTAATCACGGTAGCCGCAGCTCCAGCCCTAGCCCTAGCACCAATTCGAGCTCCATGTGTAGTTTCGTTTTTAATCCCTATACATATATTAGTAAATATATTAATTAGACAGGAAATATAAGTTTTAAAGTAAGCTTAACTTAAGAAATTTTAATAAAATACTTTAATAATAAATAAACTAATTACTATAAATATATTTTAAATTTTATAGTAAAAATATTAGCTAGTAGAAAAAATGAATAAGATCTATAAAATACGTAGTCTCGCTTCGTCGAAGGAACGGTACTTACCTTTTCATTTATATAAGCATTAGCTTACCGATATCGGCATAGGGTCTGCTAATTTTATATATTCTCCGGTAGCTTATGATTATTCTATGATATACCCCGCGATTTAGTCTATTGAGAAGTAGCTCTATAGTCGGTATGGAAGATAGATAAAAAGACGCAGGGTCCGTGTATAGGTACAGATGAAGAGTCCCAATTACATACCCCTAATTGCTGCCGAAACTCAGGCGGGATGTATCCCTGCCCGTCAGTAATGACGATATAGACGGCATTCTGGTATCGATCATCATCGGCAAGGGACTCGGCCCCGTCAGCATACGACAGGATCTCCCTTCGCAGGTCCTCGAAGCCAGGGGGTGGGGTGTTTATAAAGTCCTTAGGGCCTAGCCTGCGCTGCACAAGGACTACTGTCCAGTCATAGGCAATATAGGCGGAGGTTGCAAAGTCGAAGCTGGCACGTGAGGGGACAAAGACGCGTGTCTTGGTGCCTCCGTTACCAAGCTTATTGCGCAGGAGCGTAGTGACCTGGTCGGGCTTGTGGTAAAGGGGTGGGATGCCAAAACATATCATCTTAGATTCGTTAACACCGTTGGCAAGCAGGAAGGCGTTAAGTACAGGGAGCGGGACCTTGAAGCCGCGCAGAAACGTTGTGACACTCATTGTTGGGGTCCGGGTTGAATGGTAGTGGATGCAGAGAAAATAGGTATAATTAACATCTCTGGGTGAAAATTAAACGGAGTAATGATGGAGCTTGGAATACTGAGTGGGAAGATAGCCAGATCGGCTTTATATTACGCTAGGGGCCGCTGCTGCCTTGGTCGCCCCACAGAACTGTGATTACTGAATCAGCACCAACCAATGGAGACACAGGGCTCCTATAATTAACATAGAACTAACCTGCAGGAAAGGACCCTCTCAACGCCAACATTACTGCTATCTAGCCACCAGCTCGGCCTATGGACAGATGACAGGCCTTTTAGTAGGTAGAGCAGACCTGGACTGCGCCCTTGATCTTTGATAATAAGCAAGTAGGTCTGGTTTGTAGCCTGACATGTGCTGATTTTCACTCACAACATCTAGGGAGCAACTAACAACTACCGGTACCTTCAATGCTAAAGTGACGATATTACAAGGTCTACTTCTACACATCGGGCGCCGAAAACCACCCTATGGGACTTCCTAAACAAGAGGAGTGAATCCATGTGAGTGATTATAGCATTTAAATATTAAGATAATGTGGGAAAAGATAAACTGCTCAATAGTTTTAGATGCCGCTAATGCATGCTGTCCTCCAGTGATCTTTTATAACTATCTAATATATGTGGCTGTGGTTTTGCTTCTATTTCATATACGTCCAAGGACATACATAGCGCCTGCATAATATATATGTTAAATAAGAGAAACGATATCCTAAATAAGACCGCTTACATTTATTAATTAAGAGAACGGATATTTATAAGGTAAAAAACGGATAGTTTAAGGTTAAATTCAGCTAGTATATAATAACTTTATTATTACTTTTTATTTTATTTTATAACTTTAAAAGGGATGTTTTTCTAGTTAATAAAAATACTTTATAATATAAAAAAAAAGTTATTTAAAAATATTATTTTTAAAATTTTAACTTTTATATTTAAATAATTAAATAATATTATAAAATTAAATGTTATTTTATTAAACTAAAATAAAGAATATAATAATAATTTTTAATAACTTTATCTTTAATATAAAATATTTATTAAATGATAATAATTAGTAAAAGAATTTTAAAAAATAATATTTATAAATATTACTTATAAAAATTAAAAAAATTAAAAAGTTACTTTATACTATCTATTTTTTACCCTATAAATATCCATTCTCTTAATTAACAGCTCTTACATTAATCTCCGTATTAAAATATTCTGCCTATAGCGTTTTCCTTGGTGCTTAGTGTGCCCAGCAAGGTGATTATTAAAATCTTTATCACTCTTGCTGTGATTATAGCCCTTGCCACAGTCACAGTAGTACTTACTCATGGATGTCACTCAATTCCAGTGTTGAAGAGATGTGGGATGACGATGAATGGCCTGCTAGGGCCTTGCTTTTCAGCTTAGAAGGGTGCGGACTCAGCGTCGGGTAGTGAAGATATAATTTGAGGGCCTTCATTGCTTTCATAATCGCCTCTATCTTGTCGTCGAGCTGCCCGAGTCGAGGTTAAGCTTGCATATGGCTCCGGTCACATCCTCGGTGTGACCCTTGCCTATGACGGACCTGGAGGACCCAGAGGTGCTTCTCTCCTCTAGGTTGCTATGATATGGACTCGAATGTGGGCTGCAAAGGATGTAAAAACGGCGTTGCGGATATTAACGTGGTGCCTTTCGTGGAACGTGCTGCGTTCCGCAAGGTACTAGTATGGCTCACTCACTCACTTGAAGTGCTCTTTCGGCCAGCCGTTGAAGAGATGGATCTTAAGTCGCGACGACGATTCGACATTTTCAAAGCTCTTCTTATAGATGATGCGTGTAGCTCGGCGTCGAATTATGCAAATCTTTGCTAAGATTGTAGAAGACAGGCTGCATAATAAGGGATCTGTCTCATATGCTGAGAATAAGATGGTATGAGATGCCGCGGAAAATAAAATCACGGCGAAGTTTGGAGGGACATCTATAACTCTTATGAAGAAGTCTTCAGGGTAATATTCAGCAGGTGTAGGTTCTTGGACGTATGTTTCCACGCGTCATTTCTTGACAGCTGTTGGCTTCATTTACAGATGGTTCATAGAGTGGTTTCGTTTTTAATCCACATACATAAAAAATGTATCTGGCGCCTTCATACAGTGATAGACGCTCAAGACACAGCATTGAAAAAGAATACAGTGCCAATATGGGAAGATCAAGCTGCCGAATACGCCTCCAGTGGTCGATATAGCAAAGGTGAGCGATCGCCGCCGTTTGAAGTAGCAGCCGATGACTGTGATGCGAGGGTTATTTGTCATACCCAGGCCGTGGCCGATATAAATCCCCTGCACGAGCAATGTTAGCTAGTAACGAGTGCAAAAACACGTCAGTAGTGTGCCGGACACAATCCTGAGGCACCCTATGAGCACGGCGTGCCTGGAGTGCCCGGCATCTACGAGGTGTTCTGACAGGGTACCGAGTGCGAGTGTGAGGAACATCTGGGCTGAGCCGATCCACGAGGCCTCAAGCTGGGGCGACGAGAATGCCCCTCAACCCGTATAGTACAACTGCTTCACACAGAATGAATCTAATAGGCCCTAGGCTAGTATGATGTATTGCCGGCTATGACCTGGGACCAGGCCAACTATCCTCGCTCAGGATACTATATTTCATTCATGAGCATCGGCCTCGCATCTCATTATTACCGTCGATGTCACGTTCAAGTGTTAATCTATCATTAATTAGAGTTATTATTAATACCACGGGTGTAGAAACATATTATTCAGCGGTGTAATTCGCTATAGATTCGCAACAGGTAATTATTTCGTGGCGTCTTCATCGGGAAGCAACTGAGGGCCTGTTTTCCTCTTCCATAGCCAATACAGAGACAAGAACGCATAGCCAACCACAGAGAATATCGAAAGCCAGACCCCAAGGGCTTTCAACAAGACTTTTGTGGCATACTTATCTGCCGCAGCCCCATCATTTGCCCTTGGGAATGGCTCGTTGGGCACTGGCACGCCTAGGAATTTGCACAAGGGCTCCCATCCATCGCTCAAATCCATCTCGAGCAGTTGTTCTTTGGGAACAAGTGACCGCACCTTATCTTCATGAGCTTGGAGAATATCTAAATAGGCAGAGATTATGTTAGTTATCCGGCTTTGTGAACGCCGGGTCATTCTGAGAAGGATCACTCACGCGGACCACCTTTCTTGATCAGCTCCACAGGGCTTGCGGACTGGTAATCTGGCACCCCCGCCAGCTGCAGTGTGGATTGACTGTAATGGTTTGCGAATTTCGCGAGGTATCTCCAACCAGGTATGGGAGCGAGTGCAATTCCGAGCCACGACGGGGTCGCCCGGCTCGTCAAGGCAGAAATGGAATTCCACCACTTCACGGGGTCTCGCTTGACCAAGATGACCTTGGCATCCGGATACACCTGCATCATTTCCGGCATGAAATCGGACGGTGGTAAATCCGCAGTGGCTACGAATCCAGCTGTAGCCTTGCGAACCAACTTCAGGGTTGTTTCAGTGTCGCCACGGTTCCGGGCTTCATAAGCCTTGATCCAGGTGCTGCAGTAGTCTGCACGGAATCAGTCAACACGGAAGCCTGCCACTACGTCGGGCCAGCGCATCTTACCATCATCCCGCACCAGAATCTGCGTGCCACCGTGCAGGATTGGGCCATCCAGAAGCTTGTCCAGGGCCATGGACATCGACACGGTACCAGTCCGTGAATAGCCGGCTGAGATGACCTGGACTTTCCGGGACGGATCTGTTGGAATGGATGCAACTCCACCCATGATGAATGGTCGGATGGCAAAATCAATGCGTTTGATATCCCAGCATCTATCGGGCAGGATGTTGGTTGTCCTGGATAGCGATGCTGAAGAACATTCGGATGTTGGGTGGGCGGCGAGCAATTTATCTACTGGCTGGCGCTTCTGGGCCTAGGCGGCCAGGGGCCGCGGGACAGGGAGCTGACCTAAAAGTTGCGGACTTGCTCCATGTACCCATAGCGTACCGCAGCGGTACACCCCGCGTCCCCAAATCACACCATTCACCCATGCACGCATAACGTTTGTGCGCTGCGACCAGGGCCCAAGCTGTAGACCAACAGCCCGCACAGCCACTTAGATTTCTGGTGTTGCATTTCTGACACCAGGTCCTTGCTTTGCGCATGGGGAAGAGCCAGACTCCGACACATTCGTGCTCGTCTTGTGAAATCACGACTACAGTGTGGCCGACAAGTTCGGAAATCTGAAAATCACCGACTGCCAAACGGGCTGTGCCATCGCTTCCTGTCCTTCACTCCCAATTCATCGGGGGAGGGACAACAGTAAAGATAACTCTACCAAGTTATACAACGTGATCAGCACCTCGGAATCATGTATGTAGCTGCTGAACGTGGCTACAATATAATATTCTACTGATCTGTGGTTGGACTGAAACACTGGCAATTAGCGCAAATATAGTCAGATTTTTCGAGGGGAATCCAGCTATTGGTTTTGCATTGTTGGGGAAGAAAGAAGTTGTACAATTATGTTTCCAAGGGGAAAAGAGAGCTGAATGTTTCCAACCCTCCTTCACCAATCTTCAGCCTCAAGTGCTCCTTCACGCAGCTGCAATTCGCACAGAATAAATTTAACACTACCCAAATGGAGCCGGATGTCCAACTGGAGCGTATTGCCACCAACTCGTAATGACCAAGGGCCTGGTTGGGCTGTTTTCAACCCCCTCAAGTAGGCGAGCGCATCGCGCCCGGGGCTTAGTGCAGATTGTAGGCCGAGATATCGAATTCCTGGGAGGCGAGGTCAAAGCAGCCTCTGGGTCTCTCGAGACATAATTCGCGGAGTCAACAACATCCATTTTGAAAGCGTTTGCGTGAACAATATACTTTGCTGGGGATGAAATCAAATCATGTAAATCCGAGGTAGACTCCTTGTGGTAAGGGTCGTTCTGTTTGTGAAACGCATGCCACCCAGGATTCCTTCGTGAGCCCTTGCTGGACTTCACTCTGCTGAAGAATGTGAACGAGCGCAAGGAGGACTTGGTTGACTCTGGAAGATGGCGTCTCAAGAAGGCTGGTAACAGGATCAGGCAGGAGCAGGTGAGCCCGACGTTGATCTCGATAGTACTTCATTGTGTCAGCAAGGTACAAATGGACAAAAGCGAATTTCGTGTAAGAGACTTACGCCCAGATACCGACTTTAACCATGTTGTTTGTGATGTCTGCGTTGCTCTGCAAAACAAAGGTCATGCCCAGCCTGACAATACTTGCTATGCAAGCGCTGAGAGCAGGGAATGTTAATACCAACAGTCATTGCAACTGAAAAGGGTCGTAGACTCACAAAGCGCCAATTCCGAAAACTACCACTAGCCTGGTCCTTTGACTCTTTCCTATATTCAAGCTCCGAATCAGTGGAATCGGAACAACAAAAATGAAGAGGTCCATAAAAACGTTCCAAGCGCCCGTGAGAAAGGAAAGAAGCTCTGGATTGGAGCAGCGGCCGGAAATAGCGTTATTCCAGGCCTTTTCAAATGGAATACAGAAGAACACCACGCCAAAGAAGACTCCAGCATTGAATAACAGGCACACGGAAACTCCCGTGTCGATCACCCATATGGCCGCCGTCCTTTTCTTTCCGGTGGCAAAGACGCGGCGGTATAGGAAGAGGAAGCTGAGTTTGAATAGGGTCGCCGAAATGATGTAGATCCAGGAAGCAATGGTTTGCCACTAGAATGAAGAGTTCACTATTGGAGTCGTGGAGAGGCAGACAGAAAGGGGGAAATCAAACCTTCAGAGCTTGTACAAGCCAGGCGACGGGCTCATTCCACAAATTTCGGCCAAGTCCCCATCTCATAGCTTTTGGTCGATTCAGAAGCACATCAGCATTTACACAACTTCACAAGCATGCACGGCCAGAACCAGCGTACCTTCGAAGAACACCCCCGTCCACGCTATGTTACTTATCTGTCACAGGAGGTTTAGTCACGACCCCTGTACACTGGTCTCAATGGACTTGAGTTGGGTCTCTTACATAGGCGACACAGGCGAGATCTGTTGCATCTATGTCAGTGAGCAGTCATCATAAGACAGGAGGTCACACTAGCATACAATCGTCTGTCCCCAAACTTGACTGATTGATTCTCAGGCGTGTGTATATTCGCAGAAAAATGGCCAGGGTGCTACCTGTCAGAAAGATTGTGTGGACGGCGATATTGGCAGTAAGCTGATTGGGAGGGTCTACCAAGTCCACTGTCTCCCCTGGTGGAGGAGGCATACTACCCGTAGACCACTGTGAAGACATTGTGATACAGGCTTCCTGGCTGTCGCGGCCCTAGCAAGTACGCCCCTGAACAATTCCGCAAGGCTGAAATGGTCGTTAAAATCGAGAGTCGGCGAAGACGCAGGTATTTTTCTCCCAATATGAAATACAGGCACTGCTTGATAGAGAGGAATTTTGGGGGCAAGGATGCCGAAAGGGAAACGATCGCGGCGAATCCTTTGGACTGTAGAATTGTAGAATTGAAGACACCATCCGTGGAGTGGAGTGTCCGCTACCGCATTAAAGTCTAATTGAGTGCTGACCACCACAATCTTGTTGAGATGCCGAAAAGTCGTACGACCGACCACTACTTTGCTCCTACACTTGACTTCTAATCTGCGGAGGATTCTCATGCTCATGTCGCAATTGCGTGGCTGCATAGCCGCCGAGCGCATGTAATTATGCATCATTGATCCTTTCAATGTGACGTGTCTCCACAGTTCTCCTTCTCTTTTCTTTTTTCAGCAAGTCCCATGCGTGTTGGTTGCGGACGAGTGGATAGCTACTGCGCGATAGTTGCCGACTACTACGTGTTGGTTGGAAAGAGGCTTTGGCCACATTGTATTTTTTGTTTAAATGTTTATCTATTCGTTATCTTCTTAGCTTTTAAACTAATTATTAACTTATACCTTAAGTATAAAGTTAATAATTACTTAATATATACTTTTAAACTTATTTATATATAATAAAGTTACTAACTTTCCTTATAGAGCTTCCTTTTCTATTATATTTCTTATATATTATATAAAAGTAAATAAATCTTTAATAATAAAGTAATATATTTAGAGAAAGAATATTTAATTTTTAAATATTTAAACTTTTATTTTCTTTATATAATATTTATTTAATATATAATAAATAAACTTTATTTAACTTTTTAAAAAATTTTAATCTTTTATAAAATTTATATAAAAGGTTTTTAATAGGTTTATTATTATAATATTATTATTCTATTAGTAGTTATATATTTAAAATAGGGATTATAGTGTATTTAGTTTATTTAGTAAGGGTAGATTTAAATAGCTATTAAGTATATTAATAGGGAAGAGTTAGTTTATTAAGTTTTATATTATAAGATTCTTTTTTATAGAAGTTATTTTAAAACTATTTTAGTTTTATTATATAATTACTTTATTAACTTTAACTTTAATATTATAATAAATTAACCTTTAAACTATTTATATTAATAATTTTAATATAATATTATTAAAAATAATACTTTTTAATTTTATTTATATAATATAAAGTTTAATTATATATTTATATATTATATTCTTTTTTTACTATTATTAATATTATATTTTTTTAAATATTAGATTTTAAGTGTTTACTATTATATAAAGGTATTATATATATTTTATATATATAGGGATTAAAAACGAAACTACTTAAAACCACCTAGTTGGAAAGATTATTAGCGGCTGTATGTTGAATGTTCCCGCCGGTTACATCGTGCTTCAACAGGGACTAGCAATATCTTGGAGGGGATAAGTACTCTCAGCTAATAGGTACTTTTAGGAACTAACTGAACGCCGGGCGACCAGCCGGACTGGCAGCCTGACTGGCAACCTCGGCGGAACAGATGGTTGGCGATCTGCGAGCTAATAGCTACCAACAACCACCGGCAACCAACCACCTTGATTCTTTCACCAACAGGACGCTGTGTAGATCCACCTTCAGCCAGGGATGTTCATGCGTCATTTTCAACGATCCTTCGCCGAATTGGAAGTTGAAATTGCAACAAGGATAAGCTAAAAACCACGCTTATCCTGATTTTAATAGAGCTGTAAGTATGTGTGTGTGCGTGCCAAGGGGCCTTGAATATATTTTATACTATGTTTTATTTTTATATTTTATATTTTTCTTTTAAATATTATTATTCAAATAATAGGAATATAAATAAGTAATATTATATTTAAGCTATGATTAAATAAGGATATCCTCTGCGTCGATGAACTTATTAATCCTACCTTGTGAAAGAGACACAACGGCGTCCTGGCCAGGACGCATGTATTCAGCCATGCCAGTCAGTCGATGCGTGATTGCAATGATTGTATGTCCCTTGGAAGTGAATTCCTCGTGAATGATCCGGCGCATGACTGACTCCGTATCCGGGTCGAGTGATGATGTGGCTTCGTCAAGGAGGAGGATAGGTTTCGCTTGTGTTGAACGGGGGCGTGCATTGGCGGACAGGTTGCGCAGCATTTGACAATGTAGTATTGCCCGGCATAGAGCAAGCAGCTGCGACTGGCCTGTAGAGATCGGGGGGAGAGACTCCATGGGGGTTTTCAAGACTTGCGAATCTTTCCTGTGACTGCCCGAGGCGAAGTGTTGCCACAACGAAACGCGTCTAAGAGTTGCAGTAATGCTCTCGTCGGTGAGAGAGTCGGAAGGCTATAATCCGAATGAGTAAAGAAATCTCCAGGAGACCGACCATGATACTGGTAATATAACACGTACATCAAGGTTGAAGCGGAGACTGGCTTGGGCCAGGACGAATGAATCTTGGGCGACGGTGACGAAGCACTGCTGCCGTACCAGAGTCCGCGGTATTATACTTAGGTCAAGACCATCCACTTTGACTACTCCGGAACTTGTATCTAAAAGGCGGAGGAGAGTAAGGATCAGCGTGCTTTTGCCGCTACAGAAACAATCAAATTTGTCAGTTCAGTAGTCATAACGGGTTGTGTGAAGCAACTGTAAATCAGTCGATTGATCTGCAACATACCTCCCAGTTCGGCCACACACGATTACGTGCTGGCCTGCAGGAATTCCCATCGTGATGTTACGCAAAGCAACTGCGTCTGGACTACACAGAGAGGTCAGTTACTCAATCAATCCAATCCCGATCCTGGCCTTACGTGTACTCAACCGTGACATCGTCGATCTCAACTGATCCGGCTGATGGCCAAATACCATCAGGAATTTGATTCTCATGTGGCTTATCCTCTTTTGGCGTCTCAGCCTCTAGATGCTTTAATCGGGAACTGCGGAATTCTTAGCATGAATAACTTCTTCTGGGTTTCGGGATCATGGTGCTGTAGACAAAACTATTGTGAGGCAGACAGATAAAAAGGAATCTTACATGGCTCCAAGGGAGATCTCTAGATTTGTCCAAGACTCCACGAGCCCAAGGAGCGTCGCATTTGTGAGCAGAACAATGTTCAATGCCATACCAACCTGGCCAGCAGTTGTTGTTCCCTTTAATGTAACGACAAGGACAATGAACCCTATCGCTATCCCAGATATGATCAAATCTAGGACAATATTTAGCCACCTTTGTAAACAAACGAGGACGTATGACGGTTGCTGGCTCCTGTCTAGGTACAAGATATTCTCGTCCTCGATCTGTTTCTCCCAACCAAAAGAGCGGATTGTCGAAATGCCTTCATTCTGTCACATGTCAGGCCTTGGACGCTGGAAAATGGACACAAGATTAGACCAAGGGGGGCCACTGCTTACCGACTCGAGAAAGCTTGAATACACAGCTGCCTGAGACTCTATCTCTAACAGGCGCAACTGTCGGGATGTGCGCAAGTATACTTTTTGGACCAAGTAAACGACAATTACGCAGGCAGGAAGTGAGAGTGACAAGAACTTCTGTGCTGTCAACAGTAAAGAGACCTGAACAAGGAGCTTGAAGACTTCTGCATAATTGTGAGCGAAAGCATCTTAGAGGCAGTAGAGGCACCTACGGTTTAGGAGTGACAGCATGGCGGGCGGAAGCTGCTTGTCTACAAGCTGGATGTCTTGACTGAATCTGGGAACATGTTGGCAAAGACGATATAGGTCTTACCCATAGCTGAAGACATACCGGTTGAGCGTGGTCCCTGATTCAGTGGCAGAAAAGAAAGATAGTGGGGCCCTGCTTCGAATAAGCAAAACCGTAGATAGAGGATAAAGGAGGCAGAGCGTGGTAGGTGCGAACCTGATGACTGTAGACAAAAGTCGACGGTGTAGTGCAACACCTGAATCAGACGCAATGAGAATATGCGTGGACCTCAGACTAGGGTCAGTTGCGGTGTAAGCGGAGTAAGATCCTAGGGAGGGCTCACCACATGGATCCAGTCGTAGCAGTCCATGCTATTAAGGATGCGATAAGGTATCCGCCAACATAGAACGTGGTCTGGTAGGCAGGTGCTGCTGTCCATTTTGTCAACCAGTACTGCGGAAACGTGATAAACAACGAATACAGAGCCGTGCAGATCATGAGGAGGAAGAAATTTCGGTACCCAACCGCTCGGATGTAATATGCTGTTCAGTAGGTCAGAGCTGACCTAAATTAAAATTGAGAGGGATGAGACGGCAATTGGACTTACAATACAATGACAGATCACCAGTTGCCCTGCTCAGGTCTGAAGCGGCATCTGCCACTTTCAGAGCCTGCTTTTGGATCGTGCTGTCTACCTCGAGCTGGGCCTGATGATTATTTTCCTGGGGGACAACAGGTCCTGCAGTTGGACCCAACTTCTCAGCCAGATCGGCCCATGTCCCCTGGAATTTGATGGAAGCATCACCGAGAACAGTCAGCCAGTCCGACAGGTGGAAGTAAGAGGCTAAAAAAGAGTGTTTTCAGTCCATCGTGCCAATACTTTCTTAACAGTACAATGCGCTTACTGTTATTAGTTATTAAAAGTACTGTTGTCCCTATCGTTTTGAACAGACCATTTGCGCCTAGAAGATTTTCAACGATACTTCTTTGCGTGTCGTTATCCAAGGCGCTGAACGGATCGTCGAGAACAAGAATTTCGCAACGGGCGTACAAAGCACGAGCGAGTGCCTAGATCCTCGTTAGCGTAGCTGCCCTCTATGTTTTGGAATACAGACGCGAGTAGAGGGGAGTGGGAAGCCGTGTGTTGTGAGCACCATGATGAACTTAGGTATTCAAGGACACAATAGTGTGGAGTCTCAGATGTAACGGGGATATAACATCATTGGTGTTCAACACTTACCACACGCTGTCGCTGCCCTCCAGAGAGATTGAACCCCCGGCTTCCAATCTGTGTATCTTCACCGTGGGGAAATGTAGAGATATCGTCCTGCAAACAGCAGATCTTCAAGACTTCTTCATACCATATTGTGTCATTGGACGAGAATCCACGGATTGCTTCCCCAAGAGTACCGCTTGGCAACCACGGTGATTGCGCACATAACCCTATACGCTTTGATGAAACGGATATTTTGCCATTGGCCGTGGGGATCTCGCCCATGAGTCCCTTCGCCAAGACCGTCTTTCCGCTCCCTACCGGTCCTGAACATATGACTATGGAGCCCTTGCTAACCGATAGGTTGACGTCCTTGAGGATCGGATGATTTGGTGGGTTGGCCATGAAAGTGACATTTTCCATTTTGATTGCTAAAGAATCTTGATTAGAAATACTGTCAGTCTTTTTTACCATGAGTCGATCGTCTCGGCGAGGTGGCTGCAGGAGGTATTGCTGGATTCTCTCAAAGGCGGCCAGAGAGCCCACAGCTTGCGGCACGATTGACATGATCATGTTTGCGGGATGAGTGATGAGACCGAGGAGGGCAGTGGTTGTAAAGGCAGTTTCAGTATCAAGAACCAAGCCTCTAAAAGTTGCCAGCAAGGCGTATAGCACAAACGTGATGATCGGAGAGAATATTCCAAGAGCGTTTGCTGGAGAATTATGTCAGATCGATTACACAGGAACGCTGATGAAAACGGTTATCAGGGCATACCGCTTGCATTATAGGCGACCATCATCCATCGCACCTTCTTAGCCATCGCCAGCTCCCTTAGTCTTAGGTTCTGGATCAGAGTCTCTGTGTATGATGTAGTACCCAGCATTTTCAAACTCTTTATGGTAGCAAGCATCGAGCTCGTCATAGCCAGCCGGTCCTGTGTAGCAACACTCCAGCTCTTCTGCATGCTTTGGAGATTCTTTGCCAAGTATCGACTCATTCTGGAGCAAACTGTGATCCAATCAGCCATTCCGAGCACATAACAGACTTGGAAATGTGAACACCCACAGAATATAATCACGAGTGGAACAGGAAAAAGCCAACCCACTTCCCTGGCTAACATTGCCGTGCCCAGAATTACCTCTATTACCTGGGCCCATGTCTCGTGGAAGAACCTGGCGCTCTGGCAGACATTCTCAGCATCGGTGCTTATCAACGTTACAGCTCGACCATCTTCGTAATCAGCAGAGGGATGGCTGAGAGATTTGTTATTGATCAGACCGACGACCGCCCCTCGGATCATGACCTGAAGGCGATTTAATCGATGCTGATACATGCCCTTCGATATCTTAAAAGTGAGGCAGGTCAGCAAGCTTGCTTCCAGGTCTGATGCGGGTTTTGATGCCTCACCGCTAAGCCGAGGTAAGTAACGACAGCCATCAAAATGACTGCGTAACCCGTATTGGATGACTTTTCTTCCAGTGGCGTGTTGACATAGCGAATGACAGTGCTAATAAGGATAGGCTGGGAATACCGGAAAGCAATGAGTAAAAGACGTGGGAGAATTGGCGCGAGGAAGTCCGGGAGCATGCTTGCAACGAGCACCTTGGGCAATGTGGCTCTGTTACTCGGTTTCTCTGCTACTTGTCAGTCAATTGCCCTTCATTGTCTATATAATTGTAGTTCTCGATTACTTCTCTGATCCCAAGCAAGTAGAGCTTTTTTCCGTATAGTTTTTGAAGAAAGTCTGTGGTCGACAGGCGGCAAAGTGTCTCCAGTGAGGATTTCGCACCTTCCTTGAGCTAGGATGGGGTTGATCCACCAGAAGAAAACCCTGCTCAAGACACCAGCCATCTCTTCGGGAGAGTGTTGCCGACCAGTGTCTCGTAGGCCATGCTTCTTTCCTTGGCTTTCAAGCACCAGCAGAGCGAACTTAATGCAGATATTGAGACTGCTCGGCCAAGACGACAGCGGCGGCAGGTGAACATTATGGAAACTGGAGTCCGTCAACACCTCTGTGTAGAACAGAAGAGTATCGCAAGATAAGGTGACAAGTAGGTAGATGATGGCCAGGTCGGACGGGCGAATAGAGCGTCTGTGCTCAAAAAGTAACAAGGGAAAGAGGCCGACGCATGCTGCAAGGGAAGTGATGGCGCCAAAGATGCGAGTCGCGGATTGCGAAGCTGCGGGAATCGTGTTCAGGAGAATCCCCTGTACTGCTGCCAAGGCAACGGCAAGTGTCTGTGGACTCGTTTGTTAGCCTGCAACTCCATCATCACAGCTCCTTCCACGTACCAATTTGATCTGGCCCCGATTCTGGGCCACAAGCTTGGGAGTCTTTCCGTAAAGTCTCGAAATCCGGAACGGCAGGGACAGGATGAAGAGCGTGGAGAATATACTTGAAATGTACTCGAGCACCTGCACGACGTACATGATTGCACTCGAGCACTGCTATGAGCCGTATGGATGATATCCGATAGGAACTTGGAAGATCCGGGACAAACTTAACTTGATCCAATGTGATCAGAGAACCAAGTGAGAGCACCAAGTCTGGTGAGACAGACGTTGTTGTTGACTTATGTTTCTTCAATGTCCCAATCAAAGTTGCCGGATTAAAGAGATCGCGATTACGCGATATCGCGCAGGATTTGATCCAGGCCTTGCTGTGCCGCCTGCGCACGTGAAGATGACCGAGACCAAACCCTTTCTGGGCCCTGCTTCCTGGGGCACAGAAGCGGAAACTTCTCCGCCCTGATGGTACGCGTAACGTCCCTTTTGAACTTCGCTGCGTTGAGCCCTCTGCAGCCAACAATTTGACACAACGCCAATCACATAGGCACCCAAATGGTCTTGGCAGTCATAAACGGTGATGATTGGCAGTCTGCATACACTGGGCATACGCGTCTTGTTGGTGTATTTGATCGATCTCCCATGTTATGCATGGGCCTTCTGCGCACCCTTCGCGAGCTGACTGGCACGCCCGGCGTCCCAATCTTCTTACTTCTTTCCTCTCACTTCTCCTCTCTCCCAAGTTCAACTTCGTTTGGCCCCTCCATCGCGGCAACTCGCTGCTTTACAAATACTCAACGCTGAGCCCAGCTGACGTGTCCACAACTTGAAGTCACAAATACAATTACTCATTGTGTGCTCCCCAGTTGATTGTTCCATAAAGTCTCATGCCCTTCGACTACCTTCCCGCCAAAAAAGCATCCCCCTTCTAGCGTCCCGACAGTCCCACATATAAGCCTCCAGCTTATGCAAACGACGGTCTAATAAGGCAGCTAGCGGTACGGAACAGTCAACCTGAAAGCGGGGCCCCACTCCGGATCCACCACGCCAGACCGGAACTTGAATTGCAAGGAAGATGTCTTCGAACGGAGAGGTCGGTTAGTATCTCCTCACGCCACCCACAGCGGCATTCCCAGACTGATCGATTCGTTCACGTCCGTGGCCAGTCTATGGCAGCCTCTTTGTCTATGCCCCCAACAAGATTGCTCCCATCGTCTTCGCCGTTATGTTCGGCTTGTCGGCGGCAGGCCACTTCTACCAATGCTTGTAGGTTGATTCATTACTTGTGCGACTATTTCCACGAACCGTGCATATGCAGCTAACTATATCCCGACTCACCTACCAGCCGCCATCGCTGCTTCAAGTTGGCCGGCCTACAGCCTTTTTGTGCAGCCCTGTTTTCCCTTGGTTACGCCTTGCGCGAGGTCGGGGCCTACAACTATTCGTGGCAAACTGATGTTCAGGGCAAGATTAACACGACAAACCTTATTATCTATGTCCTTAGCCAGGTCTTTGTCTTCGTTGCTCCGTAAGTCTGAGCCGCCAACTATTCGGCCTAATCAATTACCCAGACTAACTCTTACATCACCTAATAAAATAGTCCGCTCCTCGAGCTTGCCAATTATCACATACTTGGGCGCATACTATATTATGTACCCTATATGGCTCCGATATCTCCCGGCCGCGTACTATCGACATTTGGTCTCCTTATGGCTATTATCGAGACTCTAAACGCTCTTGGTGTTGCTCTTTCCTCTAATCCTGCTGGTGCAAGCCAAGGTGCCGGGAATGCGATGGTTGTCGCTGCACTTGGTATGCAGCTAGTTGTCATACTGGTTTTTGTTCTCCTTGCGGGCATCTTTCACCGCCGGATTGCCTGCGCCAAGTTGGAGACGCAACCACTCAAGACCATGCTTATTACCCTCTACTCCAGTATGATTTTGATCCTTGTTCGCAGTATCTATCGTCTTGTTGAGCACATGGGTAATACTGAGATTGAGCTTGATGACCTTGCGGTGCTTCAAAACCTCTCCCCCATACTGCGGTATGAGTGGTATTTCTATGTCTTTGAGGCTACTATTATGTTCCTCAATTCGACACTATGGAATATATTCCACCCAGGTCGATTCCTACCGCAAAGCCCGCATACATACCTCGCCCGTGACGGTGTCACGGAGCTCGTGGACAACCAAAAAGACGAGCGCTCCCTGTTGGCCAAGATCGGGGCCGTCATCTCGTTTGGGTGCTGCTTCAGACGCCGTGAGAACCGTCATTTTGAGCAGCTGAATGACTACGAGATGTCGAACCGCGGTTCTTATCGCGGGTCACGGTCGGCATATCGGACGTCTCTAATTCGATTTGGGCGAACTGGTTCCGAGCAGTGAGTCTTGGGTGCCACTACTTTGGAGTAGGGGACGGTTATATATCGGTATTAATATAGAAACAGTCTTATATAACTCTACTCATTATATAAAGTTAGATATATAAGGAGCTTTAAGGGTTAAAAAGTAAAGTTTTAAGTGTTTATTATTAAAAAGGTTTATTTACTTAATATAAAAGTAAACTTATTTATATTTATTAATATATTAAACGTTAAAATTATTATAAACTATAAGTTAATTTAACTTTAATAAATTTAATATAATATAATTTAATAATATATTTTATATTCTTTTATTAAATTAATCCTTTATCGAGATTTCCTTTTAAATATATATAATATTATATTATTATAATATAAATATTTATAGTTTAAAGATTTATTTACTCTTCTATAATCGCTCCTTATACTTATAGAATAAGATAGGGAATAGCATGAAGACTAATGCTAGAAATCTAAGCAGCGTATTACCCTAACTATATCCTAGCGAGGAGTATAAAGCCGGGCCGGCTAGCGGTAAGAAGGTACTAAACACAAACCGCAGAAGGTTGTTAGCACCCAGTGCTGATGCTGCAGCTTGTGCACCAAAAAGATCCACCAGGTATAACTGCGCGGGCATCTGGACAGGAAGCTTAGCAGGGAAAACGGATACCAAAAGCGAGAGGGTTTGTAGCCGACAACTTGGACGAGACTCACCAGAACATAGAAGGCCCCAAAGCCTATTAGGCCCGTACCAATGATAGGGACAATCGGCGGTACCTTATAGTACGTTGTCCATCCATATAAGAAGAGGCCGAGTGACACGAAAGGGCTGAAGAATATCATGGTAACTAAACGGTATTCGGGCTTCGGGCCCTGTGCGCCCTCTGCCCTCACTCTCCACCGCTGAATAGGATCATTGACAATACGAAAGGAGATCATTGCTACAATTAATGCAATGCCAAGACCTAGGAATGAGAGACCGGATGTCGTCGTGATAAAACCATACTGGCCCTCGAAAACATCGGTGAAAGTCGTGAAGAGGAGATACATCGTCCCGAAGACAAGGGCAACGTAAATGGATATAACAAGAAGTATCGGTGATCGAATGAGCAGCTTTGTGGGGCGGACCAGGGCGTTGACGAGGACCTGGTTGATCGTGAATCGCTGCCTGGTAGGCTCGAACTTGGATCGTAGAAGAGGGTTTCCACTAGAATGTCGCAGACGGGCTGCCTTGCGTGCAAGAAGTATCTCAGCGTGCGTCTCGCGCACGACAAAGGCGGCTACCACATAGATCGCCCCAGAAAGAATGGCAAGCAACCAAAAGGTCCATCGCCAATGCAGCCCACCTGCCAGGAATCCTCCGAGTACGGGACCACGAACCTGAACTTTACTTAGTATATTGCTGCCGGACCACATTGGGAGGGGTTTCTGGTGGGTAAAAGCGAAGCCGTTCATCTCACTTACCGGTCCCGTCAAGGGGCCTAGACTGAACAAGGCCATCGCAGTAGATCTTCCCTCTGGGCGAGTGACATCAGCAATGGTGCCTCCGCCAAGAGCCATTGGTGTGCCACCCATCTTATAGAGATGTTAGTCCAGCTACGGATCCCAAAGTGTTGCACAAAACATGCAAGGTAATGCTTACGAAGCCTGAGATGAAGCGGAACACCATGAACTCCGCAAGGTTCTGGCTTAATGCACATCCTATAACAAAGGCCAAGAACACCAGGTTTGTCACATGATAGACTGGAAGGCGGCCATATGTCTCGCTTAGGGGCGACGTGACCATTGGCCCAATGGCCATTCCAAGGACGTAGATGGTAATAGCAAGTGTGCTGACAGACGGCGACTTGATTCCGAATTCCACACTGAGAGCATTGACTCCTGATGCGCATATAGTTGGGGCCATATTCCTGCATTGCGTTTGGGTCAGATCGCACGTTCTGGTCAACAAATAAACCGTGTATACGTAGTCCTTACGTGAGTAAGGCAAACAAGGAGACTATGAGAACATGGGTCCACTTCTTGCGACCCAACCAGTTCTGCGGGTTCGTCGCATCGTTGGGCCCATCCCAGTCGACTATGTTGGGGTCTTCGTGCTTCTCGTCCATTTCCGCCGACGAGGTGGGACCTCTTGCTGGGTCGTCGGGTTGGGCCATAGTTTCGGAACCAGAATCAGCCTTAGACATCTTCAGGGCTGGCCTGGACGACCGTTCTACCAGCGTTGGTGGGATTTCAAAGGGAGTATTAGATCAGGTCGTTCTCAAGAAGAGAGAAGCTGGAATTGCTAGAATCAAAGGTTTTCTGACACTTTTGAGATTGCAAGTCCAACTACTGACGATATCGTCGTAGTTCCTTTTAAACTTAAAAGCAATCCTATTCAAAGACTTAGGGGACTACTTTGGGATAGCCGGAGGACGGGTACGGATATAGGAGCATCAGTCATCGTCGTGCAATCCGATTCCAAGGTTGCACACCAAATCCTACCCATTTATTAAGTCAGCACACCAGTCCATACACAACCCCACCAATACATACAAGGATTTCAAACAACTTTAGGATCACCACCCAACTTTAAACTTAAATTTCTTAATAACTATAAACACTATTTTAAAGCTAATAATAATATCTAAATCTCTATAATTTTAATTATAATATAATTTAATTTTATAATTTTATTTCTATTATTTACTCTACTTTTATTTTTTAACTCTACTTTAATTTTTATAAAGTATCCTATTAATACCCTTTCTTTTCTAATTACTATTATATTAATAAATACTCTATTTAAATTAAAGAGAACTCTCTACTATTTTAGGTCTTTTAATAATCTAATATATTAATAAGGATATCCTTTTACTTTTAATAATAATTATATATATAACTAATTTATTAAGCTTTTAGTTAACTTTTAAAAGAAAAGTTAAGTTATAAATAATTTAAAAGCTTACTCTAACTTATATAATTTAAATTTAATTTCTATATTTAATAAAATAAATAAAGTATCTTTAAACCTATTAAAGCTAATTACTTATTAATAAAAATAAATTTCTTTTAATTAATATTAAAAGTAGTAATATTATTATTCCTTTATATTAACCTTAAATTAAAAACTTTATTTTAATTTTAAATTAAATATTAATTTCTAATTAACCCTTTTAATATATATAATTATAAAATATTTCTTTATATTTTATAATAAATATATAAGAAGAACTTTTATAAAAATTCTTTATATTATATATTATAATAAATTAAGTTAACTTTTAATAGTATTAATACTTTAAATATAAAAATACTTTAATATTAAGTAATTAAAATATATAGGAAGTATATATTAAAAGGAAAATAAGCTATATTTAATAAGAAAAGTACTTTTATATAAACTTTTAATTATATAAAACTTATAACTATTAAAAATTAATATTTACTACTATTTAAAGTTATTAAAGTAAATAAAAGCTTATAAATAGTTTTTAATTATTATAAACTAATATTATTATTAATTTAACTTATATTTAATATTATAAAGTATTAATTTTTAAATTAATTAAGTTCTTTTAAAGAAACTACTATTATTAAATTATTTTTCTATAAAAATAATTAAAGGTAAAATTAATTACTTATTTACTATATAATACTTAATTATAATAGACTAAATATAATTAATAATTAATTTTTAATAATAAACCTACTTTTAAAGATTTAATTATTAAATTATTATTATTACTATTTTTTAAAAGCTAATTTTATTTTTATTATTTTAAAATTAATTAAAAATATTAATAACCTTTAATATCTTTAAATAGTTAAAGAAATTATTAATATACTTAAATATAATATTATTTATATACTTATAGTTAACTTATATAACTTTAAAGGTTTTACCTTAAAATTTCTTTTAAAAACTTATATATTTAATACCTTTTAATAAAAATAAAGAGAGTATTAAATAGTTAATTATTATTAATAATTTAACTAATAAAATATTAAAGGAGCTTATATATAAATAGATAGAAAAGATAGCTTTAAATAAGGGCCTAATTAATTAAAAATATTCTTATATTAATAATAGCTTTTAATAAATAAAATTAATATCTTTATAAGTTATAAAACCTATTATATAATATTAATATAAATATTAAAAGATATAATATATTTTATATACTTTATTTTTACTATTATTAGCTTAATAATTAATTATAATAGTTAAAAATTAAACTTTAATAAAGAAAGATATACTTTTAAGTATAAAAAAAAGAAATAAATTAAATAATATAATTTTTATATTTATATAACTTAAAATACCCTTATAAGGTAGGTATATATCTAAGTAACTCTAATTATAAGGATATAGATAACTTATATGTGTTGGTGGGGTTGTGTGTGGACTGGTGCGCTGACTTAAGTTATATTACTTCATTCACGCATAGAATTTTGCGGACGCTCGCGGACCTAATATTCACAAGCCCGCCTGGCATCCGACATATCGGAGCTCGGATGATCCCACGGTGTTTGAGGACCTGACAAGAGAAAGACAGGTTGACGACTACTGCAGATGCCTTTGTTATTGGGCCGGAGATTCGGAGGAATCTGCTGGTCTGGTTGGCGGGAGCATGGGGCTCCGGCATGCGGTCCGGATATCCCAATAATTGCATATATAGCAATTCATAACCTTAAGCGTTCGAGAGGAGCCAGTGCCTTATCTCAAATGTTCAAATACCCTTAGCCAGGCCTACGGTCTAGCCGTTACTTATATAATACGTAAGTGTAGACTCCCTACCTAAAATAAATAGGGAGTTTATATATATAAATTAACTATACTATTAAGTACCCTAATATTAAAATAAGGATATATATAACTTAATATAAACTCCTTACCTATTTTAGGTGGGGACTTTATATTTTATAGTAATTCTATAATTAAGTTAATTATTAAATAGTATTTAAATATAAATAAAGAATATTTAAAATTAAAATATAAAAAGTTAGAAAAAGTAAAGAGCTTATATAGAAATTAAAATA